AGAGTACTTGTGGGAGAAGATGAAGTCCGAGCCTGGTCGTTGGATCGCGGTTGGTGTTGACGAAGCGTGTGATCGTTGCCGGTGAGTCCACCTATTCGTACTACGCCGAAGTTACTCCGTGCTGGTCCCTCTGCTCCCCGGTTGTCCCTCGTCCACCCTCGTATCTCCCTGGACGTCCGTATTCCTGAGGACGAAAAGGAATTCGCCACTTATCGTTCTCTCGTCCTCGGTCTCACTACTCAGCTTGAGGCCGCCCGAAATGATACATCTCTCCTGCTTGACTTCTCTTCTCGTCAAGCTAACGCTTTAAACAATCTTACTGCGGCGTTAGTAGATGTAGTCAACACTGGGGCTCTGGACGACGAAGCAAGGACAAGGTTAGCGGGCGTCTCTCGCCGAAGCCTTACTGAGATAGCCGATGTTCGCCGAAGACTGTTCGACACCCCCTTCCTAGTCACTCCTATGGCGTATGAGCCACCACCGTCCCTTGACTGGTTAGGTCGCCGTAGTAATTCTCGTGTCCCAGCTTCCGCCCAGACTGCCCTCGACCTCCTCAGTCTTCCCTTCGAGTGTCTACGGACCATACGTTCTCTGTGGAGGACCCCGAGCATGCAAGCTGCTCGAGATGTCCAGGACTTCGGTGACTTCTTTGGGGCTATGAATCGGGCATGGAATGCTTCTCTCTCTACTGCGTTCCCGTCTGAGACTCTCGATCTACCTTCGGTCATCGGTAGCCTCCACACCAATCCCGCGGGACCGAGTAGATCGAAGGAGAAAGGAAAAGGAAAAGGTAAGGGTAAGAGTAAGGACAAGTGAGCGGTACGTAGCTGTAATCCTATGTTGTATGCAGTACGTTCTATCTCCTAGCCCTTCGCAGTCGCCCTTCCTTCGGCTTAGTAGGGTGAAGTTCGTGGAACTTCGCCAATATGTCATCAGCTCCATCGACGTTCTCCACTGGTTCCCATGATACTGAATCGTCTGTTCCTTCGTAACCTAACCACTCTACCAAGTACTCTAACTTTCCTGACCTCTTATTTACTCTAGAGTCCACAATATCCTTTACCTCCCAAGACTCTCCCACATTGTCTACTTCTACTGGCCCAGGTGGCTCAGCTTGCTGACCAGGAAATATTGGAGGGTGATAAGGACGGAGCAAGGAGACATGGAATACATCATGGATACCTGCCATCGTTCCTGGTAATTCCAATTTACAAGCATGAGAACCTACCTGCCGTACTACCTTGTACGGCCCACTTTGCTTAACATCTAACTTCTTCATTGGTCTCTTCGTCTTAATATTCTCTAACGACAGCATCACTAGGTCTCCTTCCGCGAAGTTCGGCGTAGTCCGGTGTTTCCTATTGTATCCTTCGGCGTACTTCTCATTAGCTTTCTCAATTCCTTCGATACAATCTTTGTGTATTTCAGTCAAATCTTTTACCACCACCGTAGCAGCGGGCACTTCGACCTCGCTAGCCTTTATCTCTTCAGCCCAACGAGGGTGATATCCATAGTTCGCATAGAATGGGGTTTTGTTTATCGCAGAGTGCTGGGTGTTGTTGTAAGCAAAGCTAGCTCGAGCGAGTAGCTTTGACCAGTCGTTCTGCTGATAGGAGGTGAAGATTCGAAGATACAGTTCCAAAGACTGGTTGGTTCGTTCGGTCTGTCCGTCAGTCTGTGGATGATATGCAGTAGAGAGATGTAGTCTTATTCCGAGACTATCGGTCAAATTCTTCCAGAACTTGGAGGTAAACTTCGATCCCCTGTCCGATACTATATTCTCTGGCAACCCATGCTGGGCCACCACATAGTCCAATATCAACTCTGATAGGCCGGCTGCGGTTAACTTCGTCGTAGTCGGGGTAAAAATGGCCCATTTGGTCAACCGATCCACCACTACCAGGATGGAATTATATCCATGGGAATTTGGCAGCTCCTCGATAAAATCCATCGAGATGCTAGACCAAGGTTTCGTAGCTACCTCCAGTGGTTTAAGCTCCCCATGAGGTTTCTGTCTGTTAGTCTTCGCTCTCTGACATACCGCGCATCCAGCAACATAATCTTCGACATCCTTCCTTACTCCAACCCAGACATAATCCCTCAGGACTAGTTCAAGGGTCTTCGCCGAACCTGGATGACCGGCCAAGGCTGAGTCATGTCGCATCTTCATGATCTTCAGCCGAGCATCGGCGTAGTTCGGCACATAAATGCGATCGTCGAATGTGAGGAAACCTCTTGAGTTCCACCCCCCACGAAGGATTAGAGGAGACCGCGAACTACGGCGTAATTCGGTGATTGATCCTGGTTCCTGCACGTTATCGTTACACGTAGGATGAGAACACTCAGCGCAAACGACTCCTAATAATTCTTCTCTGACCCCTTCTATGTCTTCGTCCTCCTGAACTCCAAGTACTAGATCCATAGGGTCCACAAGATCATTTTCCTTTACCTCCCTTGTCCCTTGCAATGCTCGAAGGAGGTGACGCAACTCCGACGTGGTGGCGTCAACTTCGTCGAACTTCGGCAGACCTTGGATAAGGTTGCTCTCTTGTACCATGGTACTTCCTTTCCCGGAATGATAGTCCGCCCGTCTAGATAATCCATCTGGAAGACTTGCCTGGGTTCCTGGCCGATAAACCATTTTAAACCTGAAGTTAGCTAGCTCCTCTACCCACCTACCTTGCCGAGGACTGAGTTGTTTCGGTTCCATCCAGTAGGTAAGGTTTAGATGGTCGGTAAGTACTGTGGTTTCCACCTGCAATAATAAGTGTCTCCTTCTTCTGAAACCCTCCACTACAGCGAGGAACTCCTTTTCTCCTACCGTATAATTCAGTTGAGCTGTGTTGAAAGCACCAGACTCAATAGCTACCGGGTGTTCTTGACCAGCCGTGTTGATCTGCGAAATTATGAACCCCCAGCCGAAGAACGACGCATCTGTCTGTAATATCGTCTTCAATGTAGGGTCAAAATGGGCTAACACCGGCGCAGTACACATCCTAGCCTTCAACTCTTTGAAGGCTGACTCCTGTTCGACTCCCCATACAAATGGTACCTCCTTCCTTGTCAAGTCATTGATAGGTCTAGCAATCTTCGAGAAGTTGGGGACAAAGCGCCTGTAGTAGCTTACAACTCCAATGAATCCCCTTGACTCTCGTAGATTCTTAGGACGTGGGAAGGAAGTGATGGCATCAATGTATTCTGGGTTCACCGATACACCTTTAGAGGATACCACGAAACCCAGAAACACCACCGAATCTCTTTCGAACTCGCACTTACTAGCTTTCACGTACAGGCTCGCCTTCCGCAGTACCTCAAAGACCTTCGCCGTAGTTCCTCGTAATTCCTCCAACGTATTCCCATAAATGAGGATATCGTCAATGTAGACCACGACTCCATTCCCTAGTAGCTCTCTAAACACCTCATTTAGGAAGTGTTGGAAGACCGCGGGGGCGTTTCGCAGCCCATCACGAACAACCAGAGATTCAAACATACCATACTGTGTCCTGAACGCCGTCAGGTGTTCATGTCCCTCTGTCACCCTCAACAATTGGTATGCTCCAATTAGATCTAGTTTGCTGAAATACCTTGCTTTTCCAAGTTCTTCGGTAATTTGACCTATTAGAGGGAGAGGGTAGGCATCTGGTATGGTCGCTTCGTTCAGTTTTCGATAGTCGATGACCATTCGCCACTGTCCTTCGGCTTTCTTCGGTATCATAAACATTGGTGAGCCGTATGGCGAGTTACTTGCCCGAATTCGGCCAGCGGCGATTTCGCGATCTAGTATGTCTCTCAGCGCGCGTCTCTGATCTTCTCCTTGAGCATAGAGGGAGGCGACCTTAAGGTTCGCCCCCTCCTTAAGCTCAAACTTCAAATCGTAGGACCTTGAAGGGGGAAGGGTCTCTCCTCCCTTCTTCGGATTAAAAACGTCAATGTACTGGTGGTATTGTTCAGGAACTACCTGGAACAACTCGTCTTGTTCCTCCGGGCTCAGCTCTTCAAGCTCATCTTCGCCGCGGAGGTCTATCGCGTCCGTCAGAGTCGGCAGCCCTATGGCCGCTAACTTCGCCGCACTTGGTGGGGTTGGGATGGGAAATTTCACCGAGTTGTCTCTTCCATCAAGGACAACCCCTTCCTTCCTCATCCAATCCCACCCTATCACAACATCTGCGTCGCAG